AGGGCTGTAGACCCTGAGGCCCGTCTCTAACTGCCCGTCACCGGCCTCTTTACGAAGCTCTTCCAGGCTTCCAGACCCACGTGGGGCCTGAGCTCACCCCCATCCCAAGCCCTGCCTCCCTTCCGCCACCAGTGCCACCTCCAGTCCCTTCCTTAACCAAGGTAGGTACCCCCTGGCCCCCGGGAAGGCTAGAGAGCAGGGGGAAGAAACAGCCCAGAAACTTAGAGCCCCAGCCAGTGAAGCTGGGCCAGCTGGGAAGCAGCTGGGGTGGGAGCAGCTAGCATGGAGCAGGGACGAGATGGGGACCTCACCTGATCCAGGCTCTCTTGCCACAGCCAAAGCCGGAGAGCCCTGTGTCCCTACTGCCACAGGCCACCGCCTCCCCGTTCTGCTGGCCCCTCCGCGAGATTTCCCAGGGCACCCACAACTTCTCAGAGGAGCTCAAGATCGGGGAGGGTGGTTTTGGGTGCGTTTACCGGGCAGTGATGAGGAACACGGTATATGCTGTGAAGAGGCTGAAGGAGGTAGGTGTAGCATCTGGCAAAGGCCATGGGCCACCTGTGGGTCCTCTAGTCCTGCCCCAAGGCCTCCATACGCTGTTCCTTCCACCCTCTGACTCCAGTGCAGGGGACGTGGCCCTTGCTGTTTCTGGGCCTGGGACAGGTGGCAGTGGCAGTGGCCAACAAACCTTGCCTGTGGGAGCCTCACACTGCCCATTTTCCCCGGCCTTTCCCCACTATCCCCTGGGGTGCAGGAGGCAGATCTGGAGTGGACAGCGGTAAAGCAGAGCTTCCTGACGGAGGTGCAGCAGCTGTCCAGGTGAGCCCACCTGGGCCTTCCTGGCTGGGTCCTGGAGCCTGCCAGGCTTGACCTGCTGAGCGACCTGCTGGGGTCTGGGGACCAGAGATCTCAGGCCCCTTTCAAACAGATTTCGCCACCCAAACATCGTGGACTTTGCTGGCTACTGTGCACAGAGTGGCTTTTACTGCCTCGTTTACGGCTTCCTGCCCAACGGCTCCCTCGAGGACCGCCTGCACTTGCAGGTAAGCTCACCTGGCACACCTGACCTGCCTCTCCAGATCCGCAGTGTGCTTGGTGCCTGGGCAGAGCGAGGTGCAGGGCCTAGCCCTCTGTGTCCCCCCATGGCTCAGCTCATGTTGACTTGGTGGGTCACCATTCTCTACGGAACTCTGGTGGGCTCTCCCCAGCTGTTCCTCTCATAAGGCCGATCATTGGCTCAAGCTTCTCCCCATTTTTTGCAGAGTGGCTGGGGGGGGTTGTCCCTAGGGAGAGAGGACCAGTGGGAGACTCCCACAAGATGCACAGGCTGAGTGTAAGCAAGGCAGAAGCCGTGTTACAGTTGGAAGACATGTTCCTGAGCTCTAGGAATAGAAGTCTGTCTGGTTCCACCAGGAAGCCCGGGAGTACGTTCCCGGCCACCTGCAGCCTTGAGGTGCTTTCCAAGCACTGGAGTAGTTTAGGCGCCCTCTGCTTATGAAGTAGACTGGAGATTTTGCTTGTTTGCTGGGAGGGGAAACTGAGGCCAAGACTGAAGCAACTTGTTTCAGCCCTACTGTGTCCCTATTTCCTTTGCTGCTGCAGACCCAGGCGTGCCCCCCTCTCTCTTGGCCTCAGCGACTAGATATCCTTCTGGGCACAGCCCGGGCCCTCCAGTTTCTACATCGCGACCGCCCCCAGCCCCAGCCTCATCCATGGTGACATCAAAAGGTGAGAGCACCCTGATGTGTGACCTCAAAGAGAGCACCTCTTGGGGCATCAGCCACCCTGGGGCGGCACAGGACGGGCCCCACCGATAACAGAGGCTGAACTGAGGTCCTGGGCAGTGGAACGTCCAGGGTGGTGCCGGCCGCTTTCTGTGAGCTGGGCCGACACTGTTCGCTTTCCTCCTCAAGTTCCAACATCCTTCTGGATGAGAAACTGGCCCCCAAGCTGGGAGACTTTGGCCTGGCCCGCTTCAGCCGCTTTGCAGGGGCCAACCCCGGCCAGAGCAGCACTGTGGCCCGGACGCAGACTGTGCGGGGCACCCTGGACTACCTGCCACAGGAGTACATCAAGACAGGGAGGCTGGCTGTGGACACTGACACCTTCAGCTTTGGGGTGGTGAGCCACTGGCCCCTCTGCTGGCTGAGGGAGGAGAACTCGGTAGTAGGCCTTTCCCTTTTTCCCTCTCTCCCTCCCACCTCCCGACCCCACTCAGACCCCTTCCTTATCCTGCACCTAATTCTCCTTCCAAGTTCCCTCGCTCTGTCCCTGTGGGAGCAGCCCTCATCTGCCTGTCCCAGGGACACATCCTTGTTGGCCTCATTTCATGTCCTCCTCAGAGGCCTCTTCTCTGCACTCAGCCCTTCCCTGCCAAGGCCTGGGCCAGCGCCATCCCAGAAGCCATTGCAACACTGTCCATCCTGCTCTCTCTTCAGGTAATGCTGGAGACCCTGGCTGGCCAGAGGGCAGTGAGTACAGGCAGTACCGGGACCAAGTACCTGGTGAGCCTCCCAAGGCACCAGTAGGTGCAGCCCAGGGGGTGCGATGACCAGCACAGGTGCCCCACACAGCCTGCCTCTGCCATTGCTGACTCAGCTTTGGAAGTGGGCAGGGCCCCAGGCAGCCTCCCTTCCCTCCAAGGAGGTGTCCTCTGTGGAGGAGCCAGGGCTGGGGCAAGGAGGGACATTCCCAGTGTGCGGGGCCCAGAGCTGTGAGGGTGCCATTGGGCCAGTTGCACATGAACTCTCCATGTAGACAGGGTGGGTCTAGCTGTCCCACGCCTTGCTCCTTCATTCTGGCTGCCTACCATGGACCAAGAGCAGCCCAGGAGACGGGAAACGTGGATTCTGATCCCAGCTTGATGGTGACCCGGGAGCAGATTCCCACTCCTTGCCCGCCCTCAGTTTCCCCACATGCAGCACTCAGACAACTCTGAGGCCTGGGGGAGGTGGGGGAGTCTAGGCCAGTGCTGCCCCTCACTTTCTGCTTCCTCTCCTGTCTTGGGCGGGTGCGGCCTGGTCAAGAGCCCATGAGCTTTCACCTCTGCCCCCAGCAGCATGCCCCATCTCCAGAGCCAGCCAGCCCAGGCTCCTGGCCACTGTCATCTATTGTTGTTGCCCAGGACACTAGCTTCGTGGGTCCTTTGATCTTTTTTGGACCCCTCCATGTGCTCTCTATCACGCAGCCTTTTCGCTGCTCTTGGGGTGAGATGCTCTCCCTTCATGCGACCTGACCCCTCACTCAGGGAGCTCCTGCTTCCCACCCTGGGACCTCTCCTGAAAGGTCATACTCCACCCAGCCAGTGCCTCCCAGTCGAGCCCATCTCAGAACCCAGGGTGGTCTCCAGGCTCATTCCCACCTTGGGGTACCTCTTTGTGGGGTGTTCCTCTTCTAGGCTCCACCCTCTCTGCTAGACCTCAGCTCACATGCTATTTGATCATCCTGGGTTAGATGTCCCAGAAGCCCCTCCAATGAGTTCATAGGTTTATTGGTGTCTTCCCCAACCAGGAAGTTGCTTCGGGGCCCAGGCACACAGTGGGCATTTAATACATTGGCAGGGAGACAGCAGGAACCAGTGACAAGGGTCCCGGTGGCCATGTCACAATAACTGTCCCACAGAAAGACCTGGTTGAAGAGGAGGCTGAGGAGGTGGGGCTGGCCCTGCAAAGCACCCAGACCACGCTCCAAGCAGGCCTGGCTATGGACACCTGGGCTGCTCCCATCGCCACCCAGATCTACAAGAAGCACCTGGATCCCAGGCCCGGGCCATGCCCACCCGAGATGGGCCTGGCTCTGGGGCAGCTAGCTTGCTGTTGCCTGCACCGCCGGGCCAAGAGGAGGCCTCCCATGATCCAGGTAGCCCTGGGGGACAGGTGGCAGCCAGAAACCCCACATTCCTGGCCCTGCCTTTCCACGGGAAGCTGAGTACTGTACCCATCAGGCCCCTTTCTGGAGTTGAGTCTGCAAACATTCCTTGTGTGCTCCTTGCCTCAGTGACTGAGAGCTGGAAGGAAAGGGCTCTTACTGTGCCCCCTGCCGCAGGGTCCACTCTTTTCTGTCTTCTCCCTGTCCTTCTACCTCTTGTCTTCTACTGACAGTTGAGAATAGAGAGACCTCAGGACAATAGGGCTGTGAAGTCATTTTCTTTTTGTTAAACTTCTCTATTTTTTCTATGCATGGAAGAGCATGCACACACCCCTAACAGGGTCTTGTCTTCTCAGCCTGGGAAGCCAGCCTCACAGAGCATCATACTGTGCCCCTGTCCAGCCCTCTAGATTCACTCCCTTTTTTTAATTTTTTTTTTTTAATTAATCATCATAATTTTTAAATTTTATTTATTATCATCATCATAAATGTTTCTTAATTTGCCATAGGGAGCATGTGTTCACCATTGAGACAGAGAGAGTGAGAGATCACCCCTCAAGGGGGTGGCCATGCCACAATCCCTTCTCCATTCTCCATTTGGGAATTTAAGCATGCACACACACATGCCTGGCATGATTTTTTTTTTCTGGAGAGATTTTTTTGCTATAGGGCACGTACATTTCTTCAGAGAGACATAGATAGAAAGTGAGAAATCATCGCCCAGGGGTCGGGGGGATGGGGATGGGGATGGCCACACTGCAATCCCTTCTCTTCTATTCTCCTCTTGGGATTTTGGGCACGCATGCGCCTGCTGTAAGTTATAAGCTGCCAGGTTCAGACTACAGTTGACTATGTGGGAGTCCAGCAATGTAACTGCTTCGCCATCTGCTAGTCCCATGCCCAGTGTGATTTTTAAGCCTCCAGGTCCAGGACTCAAACTGTGTAGTAAGCCATGTAGGATCTAGCACCTTGATCTCTACACCACCTGCTGGCCAGAGATTCACTTTCTAGAAGAGAAAGGCCATTCTTGGTTCTTGACTTTAGTGGTCATGCCCCTTGGCAGTCCTTGGGACAGGCACGGAAAACAAGGGATGGAGCTTTCCTAGCCACAGGATGCCAGGCCAGGCTGCCTCTGGGAGGGCAGACAGGAAAACTCCTATGTGTCTATCACTGGCAGTGCCCAGAGTGGTGGTGTCCTGTGGCCACCGCTGGCAGTGCCCCCAGCAGCCCCGGCCTGGGCTACAGAGCAGCCCCAGAAAGGCCCTAACCAGCCCGTGGAGAGTGACGAGAGCATTTCCGACCTCTCTGCCACCCTGCACTCCTGGCACTTAGGCCCAGCGCCGCTTGGGGAGGCTGACTGTGCACCAAGCTGGGGCAGTGACCCTGGGCCCCGGCCTACAGCCATGAAAGGTAACTGAGGGGCAAGGATTCTCATACCCCCTTCCATTCCCCTGGGCATTCCCCACTTTGCACTGTGCAGCCTGGGAGTGAGGGGGATTCTGTCCCAAGGCCAGGGAGGCAAGGTGCTAGATGGAGTGCTGGGAAGTGTCACCAAGGAGTCCCCAGAGACAGCTAAGAGGGTGCTCTCTCTGTCCCAGGCTCACCCCTGAACAGCTCCTTGTCATCATCACCGTTGTCCTCCTCATCAGAGCCACCACAGATTGTCATCAACCCAGCCCGACAGAAGATGGTGCAGAAGCTGGCCCTATATGAGGACGGGGTCCTAGACAGCCTGCAGCTGCTGTCCTCGAGCTCCCTCCCAGGTGCCCAGAGTGACCCCTACCCTGCCCAGTACCAGCCGACTGCAGGGCACTGATCTAACCATGCCCTAACAGGCCCTGGCTCACAGAGGGGGCGGCGGCAGAGGCCTAGCTGTGGGTGGGTGGGCAGGTGGGCAGCCCGTTCCTCGGGCAGTGCCCACTTGTTCCAGGCACTTGGAAAGCCACTGCTTTGAAAGGGTGTGCAGCAGCCCAGTGCAGCAGCCCACAGGAAGCGTGAGCCCTGAACCCAGGCTGCAGGTGCTTTGGCGACAGGGGCCTCCTCCTTGCTAAGTAGCACTTCCTCTTCCGCCCTAGGCTTGGCCCTGCAGCACAGAGACAGGCAGGGGCCTGAAGAGAGCGACGAGTTTCAGAGCTGAGTTGTGCCCCTGGGCACCTCCATACTGGGAAGTCAAAGTTCTCATGGTCGGAAGTTCTCAAGAGGCAGCCCTGGGTAGCTGCAAGCAGTGGGGTGGCACTGTCCTTGCCCTCAGTGTCCTCACAGGGGAGGAGGTGGTGGCAGAGGCTGCCCGCAGTCCAGCCTAGGGAGAGGAGGGCCAGTAGCACCCAACGGGGCAGAGCGAGGGCTCCCCAAGAGCCCAGCTCTGCACGGTGGCACAGTAGATAGGGCCCAGGCCCCCCCTTGCTATTTGTCATTTGGAGAAGTGATTAGGGCTCGGGGCACAGGCAGAAAGGAGCATACTGAGAGCCCCCCGAGTCCAGTAGCACCCCTGCCC